TTTAATATTTATTTTTTTTTAGTTCTCTGCGGACACAACATCTTTGTTGGTATGTGGTGCTGAGGATCGAACCCGGGCTGCACGCATGCCAGGCGAGCGCGCTACCACTTGAGCCACATCCCCAGCCCATGGGTGGGGGTCTTAACTCCACCGTAAAACACTCCCACCAGGCGCAACAGCAGGAGCCTCCCGGGATGGCTGGGGACTCACTGAGGCACTCAGTGACAGAGTGCCAGCCCCGGGGCCACTCTCCCCGGCAGCCCTGCCTTGGCTGTAAGGAGATCACAGATGTTCACATCCGCAGCCTCAGGTGCCCCGCCCAGCTCTCCACACACAGAATGACAGGAAACCTCTGGGGGCGACCCTTCTGTGGCCCCCTGATCCAGATCCGGGCCACACACGTACATTTTCCAAGACTGTGACTAGCAAGGCAGGCGTGTCCCTGTCCCAGAGAAAGAGCCGAGATCAAGGGATGGCTGTGGTCCACGTGGCTGATGGCAGAGGCCTTCTGGGAAGCCTGCCGGAGGGTCGCAGCAGACCCCGCACCAGGACTCCAGGGCTCTGGGCCTGGACTTCCTGACCCTTCCCCAGCCCCGTGGGTGAAGCCACGCTGAGGCGGGGATGGCCACCCTCATGGCAGTGCCCAGGCGCCTGCTGCTCTCTGTGGGGCAGCGCAGCCTCCTGGCTGGGCCCCCCACACCCCAGGAAGCGGCCCCTCTGGACAGCCTGCGCCTGTCTCCTACCAGGTGGACATTCTCGGCCTAGCGAGAGCTCACCAGGACTTAAGATTTCTTAAATCATATTTTTAAAAATACAATGGTGGGATTTTCCAAGGTTTACTGAGATAATTAATTCACAGACGATGGAAGTGTCCTGCGTTGCGTGTACGAGCCAGTGACCCGCGCAGCCCCACACCAGCACCTGTACCCACTCCCACCACCCACAGGAGCTCGGCCCCACGAGTCCTGCACCTGCAGGTCCCACCTCTGGGCTCTCCTGTCCGGGAGGTCTCCTGTCGCTGAGTCACACGCTGTGGCCGTGTGTCCGGCTCTCGCTGAGCACGAGGTCCTCAGGTCCCTCCACGCTGCAACTGTCACCTGGCTCCTGCTCGGGCCAAGTGGGAGGCAGAGCTGGTGTGACTGTGTCTCCCATGTGCCTGTTCAGTCTCCCACTAGCTGGTGGGCAAGGCTGCAGCAGAGTCCCCACCCTCATCTCAAGGACATGAAAACCTCCTGCCATCCTCCTGTCCCAGCCCCCTTCAGGGGCCACACCTCGCCTCCTGCAGCCTGAGTCCCCTCAGGACTGTGAGGTCCCACTGCATGCTCCGCCTGGGGTCAGGGGTGTGGCACTTTCCTGCTACTGATCTCTGCTGTGGATGGAGGCCAGGCAGTGTCCTGCTACAGGGCCGGAAGGCACTGTCACCTTAGGGTGGGCTTCCCAGGAGCTGCTGGGCGCTGACAGGAGTGCACCGGCTGGAGCCGCCTCTCTGGAGGCCGGACTGCTGCCTCCTGCTCTGTGGCTCTCACCCGGCCGCAGTGGGCCCTTAGGCGGGTGCTACCCAGCCCCTGGATCCTGGGGAGTGGCCTGCTGAGACTATGGGGCCGTCCCAGCACAAGGACCTGGCTCCCTCCCTTGTGAGCAACCGGGGATAGACCTGGGCTCCCGGCCCAGGCAGGGAGGGCTCAGACCCGCACGGCTGCTAGGACAGGGAGAGCGCCCAGCGAGGGCCCTGACCCTGAGTGTGGCTCAGCACCCTGCACGGTGAGCAGCTGATCCACGTCTGTGCCTCCTGTGCCGGCCTGGCCCTCCTGGCTCTCCAGCCCTGCCTCAGCCAGAGCAGGAAGGGCTGCAGCTGCCATCCACACGGCCAGCCAGACGAGCCAGCCAGGGCTCTGGCAGGGCTGAGGCTCACCGCCCCCAGGGGGTGCCCTTCTCTGGAGCTTTCTGGCCAGGAGGACCCCTGGGGTCCCACTGGCACGGGTCAACCCCCACCACTGTCGGCCAGTCTGGGGTGTGAGCGGGCAGTGGCAGCACGCACCACATCCAGGTTGCCTGCCGGGCACCCACACCAAGTCCCAGGCCCATCTGAGACCTCCTCAGGCAGCAGGGTCAGCTTGGGTACCTGCGGAGGAGTCAGGGTCAGCACCTCTAGGCACAAGGCCTGGGGCTGGGAGCACGAAGAGCCAGGACTGGCAGGCGGGGTCAGGGCCCGGCCCAGGGGCCTCCAGGTCAGGGCTGCAGACTCCCTCTGTGAGGGCCGGAGCACGTGCGCTATGAGCTCGCGGCCGGGCGGTCTCTGTGGGAATCGCTGCCCTGGAGCTGGAGGACCAGCAGGTATGTCCACGGCATGGACCACAGGACGGGCAGCGAGCTGTCCTGGACGCTCCCCTGGTGACGGAAGACCTGAGCCCTGTGTAACTTCACGGCCGTGGTCTTCGGATGCCCCTCCCAATCCATAAGCAGAAGGACTCAGTCCACTCCACCCTGGAGGAAGCCGGCCGGCTGGGCCTGGCCTGGGCTCTGGCCACAAGCCCTGACCAAATGCCTCAGTGGACAGAAGCCATCAGCTCAGGACAGTGGAGAAGGAAGGATGTGCAGGGCCTGGAGGCTGGAGAGGGGCCAACCAACAAGGAGGACAGCTGGCCCAGGGGACGAGCTGGCGCAGGGTCCCTGGCCACAGGAGATGCAAGAGGTGAGGCCAGGCCTCCGGCCCTGCAGCAGGGCAGCAGCCCCGGGCCCGCCACAGCCCCACAGGGCTCCCTGCCTCTCACCCCTGCTTCTGCAGCGGCCCCCGCCGCCTCCCACCCAGCAGGCCAAGGCAGCAAGGAGCCCAGTCCCCAGTAGAAGGCCGAGGGCCAGCGTTCCAGGCCATGGGCACCTCCCCTCCTCTATGGGCCTGGCCCTACCAGGGGTGGCCGGGCAGGGGTGGGCACAGCTGGGCTGGGAGGGGCACAGCACCTGGACGCGCCCCCAGCCCGTGGCTTGCTCGGAGCACTGCACTCCACACGCTCAGTAATTTCACGCTATGCCGCCCGACAATGTAAGTGTGGAGGCCCCGTCGCAGGCCGTACTTCCCAAATGTCACTTGTTTGTGAACACATGGCTGAATCCAAAATTGCTTTTAATATCGGGGCTCTGACGGCACCTCCAGATAGCACGAGCCCGGCGCACAACTCAATCTGTCTTAGGCCAGCCACAGCTCAGACGGTCCTGGCCACCAAGGTGCCCCCGCAACCACGCGCACGGCTAAACTCCCCGTCCACAGAACCACAGCCCTGACGTGTTTGCTCCTTTGGAGCAAAAGAGGAATCCTGCCTCCTGGTCTCCCTCACAAAGACTAGCCTGAGCCCGCCCGGGAGCCTGCGGCAGGCCTCCTACTACAGCCCCTCTCCTTTAGGACCCGCACCCCAGTGGGGGCCACTCGGGTGGAGCACCTACCCAGCATGTGCGAGGCCCTGGGTTTCATCTCCAGCAGTGCCAAAAAATCAAAAAAATAAAAAAATAAAAACAGAAAACCCCAAACTACAGCAACAAAACACGCGAGAAAGATAAAGAGAGGCCCCTCCGTGCAGAGCAGCACTGCTGTCTCTACTACATGCTGAGAGCCAAGAAAGGGTGGCTTCCTCCAGGGACACACCAGGCGGGCGACGTGCAGCGGGAGGAGCGTGTGCAGGCTTTAGGAGCTGTGTACCGTTGGGGATCTGGGGCTGAACCCAGGGTGCTCAACCACTGAGCTATACCCTCAGCCCTTTTTACTTTTTATTTTGCTGCAGGTCTCACTGAGTTGCTGAGGCTGGCCTTGAACTTGTGGTCCTCCTACCTCAGCCTCCGAAGCAGCTCTTGATGACAGGCGTGGCTGTCATCCTAGTCCCAGAACCTGCGGCAGGCACACTGGTCAGCGCAGTGCCAGAGCCTCACTGGCAAAGACCTGAGGTCTCGGGAATGGCGTGGCATCTGGGTCTTGCCTCTGACCTCTCCTCACGGCCCCCCATCTAGATCTGGGGGGAATCCAGTTTGCCCCAGTTCTGGCTCCTCTGGGCCCTGCACTTGGAGGCTGCAGGGGGCAGGCCTGCCCTCGGCTCCTGCCTGGGCAGAGTGGCCACGCTGACGCTGCAGTGCGGGGCCCAGGAGGAGAGGGGCACCAGCGCCCCGGCCCAACGCCTGGGCCAGGCCTGGAAGGAGGCACGGCTTCCTGGTGCCACTGGGATAGGCACCGGGGGCCCGCAGGGGTGTCCTGGGAGGGGCCAAACCAACATCCCCTGCTCTCCCTCCCATGGCTCCCGTCAGTCTGAGACCTGGTGCTCACAAGCTCCTTTCAGCCCAACGGCATCTGGACCCCGAGGCCCAGCCCCCAGCACAGCCCTGGGGGCGTCCCAGGCTGGCCCGCACGCCCTCTAGCCTGTAAGTGCCATACCAACAGTGCACACGGGGCTGAGGGAGACCAGGTGTGACAGTAGCCAAAGTCGAGGAGGCTCTGGGGATAAGCACTTGGTTCAGACGTCCCACCTGCTGGCCAATGTCAGTGCTGGACATGAGGGCAGGTGACCACGAGCAACCACTGAACTTGTTCTTCACCAAGCCAGCAAGAGGGGCGGGCCTGATCCTGACCACTGCCCAGAGCAGCCCCTGGAGGGCCCACCAGGGACAGGAAGGCAGAGGCCTAAGTGGACACTCCTCAGCCCCTAGCCCTCCAGAAAACCACTCACTGCCAGAAAAAAACTCCCCATTTGCACCCCAGACCAGCAGGACAACAGGGGACAGCCCCACCAGGGCCACCAGACCAGGCAGCCAGAGAGGACATGCTGGAACCTAGCCCCGGGCCACTGCAGGCCCCCTCCACACCCGCCCCCGTCCACCAGGAGCGAGGCATGAGCTTGCTCAGGACCCCAGACACTGGGCCTGGGTGAGCAGCTGCCCCAGGGGCCCCGGGCCCCGTGGCAGAGGCAAGGCGGGCCACTTCCTACCCCGCGAGGCCCGTGCACGGCATCTGCAGGACCTACCTGAGTGGCAACTTTGCCGTAATCAATCCACCGCAGGGTGGCAAAGTTGGTGGACTCTGCGCAGTTGAAGCCGTGGTTGAAGCCCGCGTGGTAGCCGTAGGGGAACGTGATCATGAACTCGCCGGCCTCCTGCGTGATCTGCGGGACAAAGTGGACAGGTTAGAGGGGGAGAAGGGGCAGGCCAAGGGGGAGGAACCAAGGCCACCAGGAGCCACCACGCCGAGCACAGCAGGAGACAGGGCTCAGAGGCACCCCAGGAGCTAGTGGGGCTCCTCAGAGTTGGGGAGCCCTGAAGCCCGAGGCGCCTGCCCAGCTCCCTGAGGGCAGGGCCACTGCTCTGCTGCCAGCACTGTCGCTCGCGTGGCCGGCCAGCCCTGCTCTGCAGCACCTTCCGGGACGCCACTGGGCTCCACGACAGGGCCCTCAGCTGAAGCTGGGGAGGCAGGGCTGGCCTCGGAGGAGGCTGCGGCACAGCCCCACCCGTATCCCCACGGGGTCAGGCTCAAGCGGACAGAAAGTGCTGGTGGACTAGCAGGGTGCTGAAAAGGGACAGGGCACCTGCAGGGCAGTGTCCGGTCCCTGTACGAGGAGTGGCCAGGTCTGCAGCCCACCTGCCAGGAGATGGCCTGCAGAAGGCCACTGTTGGCCACAGAATCTCCCGTCATGCCTCACATGGCCCAGCGTGCAGGGCCTGGACAGAAGGGCCATTTAAGAGAGACCCGGCTAAAGGGCTGGCATGAGTGGGGCGGGCGGGGGCCACAGTGACCCAGACCCCGGGCTTCCAGAACAGCCTCCTGAGGCCTGGAGGAGGGGGCTGCCAGACAGGGGGTCAGCCCCACACCAGGCCACCTTCCCCTCCCAGGACGGGGACGGCAGACCACCACCGACCCATCTGCTGCTGCTGAAGCGCTCGGGAAGGCGGTGCTCAGGAAGACGGCAGCAGGCAACGGTGGAGACAGCTCCCGCTGCCGGGGAGGGCTGCCGGGTGCACCTCAGAGGCTCGGGAGTGGAGGCGACTGAGGGGTCCATCGGCGGACCCCGAGTCTATGTGCACGCAGTACGCCACGTGGCATGAGCAGAGGGCGGTACACACCCACACCCTTCCGGCAGCCAGGGCAGGACGGGTGCCCAGCACCCTGCAGGCAGGCCCACCCACGCGTGTTCTTGCCACTCGGGCCCGCTGGCTCTCAAGGCGCACGCCCCAAGCCAGGATGCCAGGCAGGGTCGAGGTGCCAGGCAGGGTCGTGCTGGCTCCTGGGTGCCAGGAGAGCCTTCCCTCCCGAGTGGAGCCGGTCATGAGGACGCGTCGCTGCTGTCCAGCCTTTCCCTGCCGATGGCCGTGTGGGCCATTTCCAGCTTCAGGCTCCTGTGAGGAAGCCACCAGGAAGGCCCTGTGTGAGGCTCCCCGAGACGTGGGTCCTCTCTGCAGAAGTGGGCATGGGGGGCATTGTGGGCCCAGGTCTGCACTTCCTGGAGAGGGCCGCCCAGGGCTCTCCAGCACCCGTGGCCACTGTGGCCACGCAGGTCCATCCGCAGGTCCTCGCGGGTCCCTCCAGCCCTGGCTGGCCCTGTTTGCACAGGGGGCTTGTCCTCTCGCCCTCGCGATGGGCTTGTGGGTGTTCTCAGGCCGTTCACCTCACTTGTCCCCCGAGAGGAGCAGAAAGGGCTGCACGCGTAACCAGCAAGGAGTCCAAGGCCCGGGGCTCGGGCGGTGGAGAGGGCTCCCCCGCCAGGAGCAGCCGCCGCGTCAAACATCAATCAAGACCCTGCGGCCTGGGAAGCGCCCGTCCTGGAGAACTGCAACATTTTTCTTTTCAAATAATTAATTACACCAATCAAGGGAGTCAGTGAGCACTAAGCCATATTTTAAAATTTCTGTCCAAGTGACAGCCTCACGCAGCAGGGTGGAGTGTCGGCAGGAATCAGGGAGGGGGACATGCCTGCGTTCCCAAGGCCCACAAGCACCCACGTAGCCAAGATCTCCAGGACTGCCTCTGGCACCTCACTTGGAGCTTCATGTAACAGGAGCAGGCGAAATAAGGCTTGGAAAATTTTTTAAAAAATGAAATTAATGGCCAAGCAGGGGGCCACACCTTAATCCCAGCAGCACTGGAGGCTGAGGCAGGAGGGTCATGAGTTCAAAGCCAGCCTCAGCACTTCAGTGAGAGCCTGTCTCTAAATAAAACGTAAAAACGGGCTGGGGATGGGGCCCCGTGGTTAAAGGCCCTGGGTCCAATCCCTAGTACTGATTTCCCAGCCCGTTGGAGCTGACCGGGAAAGCCCCTGCTGTCTCTCCCTCTGACCCCAGGCGGGACACTCTGCTCTCCAGAGGCTGCCCTGGCGTGGGGGACAACCAGGCCTGCAGGTCCACCATGCAGCCACACCGGGAGCTACGGACTCAGGCCTTCTGGGGCACAGCTGGGACCCTGTGATACCAAGTGTCAAGCCTGGACGTGAGAGGCCAGGCTCAGGTGGACACCGGGCCTCATCTGCCCTGACAAGCCCTCGCCTGACCGAGGCCCGGGATGGGACGCGCTGCTGGAATGACGAGAAGGCCCCGATCCTGTCAAAACCTCCACGTCCCTGGGGTGCACCCAGCCTGGGCGCCTGTCCTGCACGTCGCTGCCGTCACCATCTCCTGACAATGGGTCAGGGCCTTCTGGTGATGGGCAGGCCGAGCAGCAGGGGTGCTGGGGAGGGGCGCCGGCCCGGCTGCTGGTCCTGCGGGAGCCTGGGCCAGGTCTCCGGGGCTCTTGCAGGATGAACGAGGCAGTCGGAGGCAGGTTACAGAAACACACACTTTTAATCATTAAAAGCCTCTACCATCGATCTGCTTTTCCTTCTACAAGTAAATACCATTACAAAGATTTATAAGGGGAGTGCGGGAGTGACTCGCTTGAAGAGTGCCAGGAATTCTGATGGGGGACCATGGCACGCTGCTCTCAGAAAAGGGTGCTCGTGGCTCAGGGGTCACTTGGGAGGGGCTGCTCCTGCTAGCTGGACGGGCACAAACACCCGGCCCCACAGGCCACATCCAGGCCACCGAGCCGGGAGCAAGGGAGCGGCTTGGTGTTGGGCAGGTCACAAACCTGCACCTCTCCCTTCCCTGAGCACAGCGCCCTCGACTGGTTTCCGTAGTGACTCAGGTGAGGCCACGACAGAAAGGAGAAGCAGGAACAGGAGCCTGCGTCCTCAGGACGCTGCCCCCATCCTGCACGCCCCAGCCGGGGCACAGTCCCTGGGTCATGCCCACGCAGCACACGCGGTCACAGCTGATGCTGCAGGCAGCGACCGGGCTTCAGGGGCCACCCCACCCCCATGTGCTGAGCTCTGTTCGAGGCTCTTCATGGAGCCCTTCAGAACCAGGCCCCGGAGGCTCTTCTC